AGCTGTCCACTGCTTCCAGATTTCCAATGTTTCTCCAAGTGATGCCAGTCACTCCGTGATGAATACATACCTGAAGCTTATACCTGTGCCTTTCTCAAGTTACATACTTGATAACTCGTGATAAACACTTCGCTTCAAAAAATCCCACGAATTTCATCTTAAATTCAATGCTTAATGACGATATACCTCACCGTGATGTTTTCCTTGAAGAAGGCAAAAAATAATGGACAGATATTAGTAACTATGTGATGTGTAACAGGAAATTGGAATTGTCAAACTGGCTAAATCTCATCAACTAATATTGTAGCCTCACAACTTAACACGATGAAACGATGTACTCACTTCACTTATGGCTCAAATAGCCCAGTGACAGTAACACTGACTAGAACACCGAGTGAAGCACATCTGAAACCCACACAAGACACGAGCTCCTTCAATAGTGTCAACAAGCATGGTTTCCTACCGACTATCTCCAGTCGATGAACAACCTTCAAAGTGCACAATCATGCTGAATCTTCTAACCTGATCAGCATATTAAAAATTATTCTATAGAATCCACTCAACACTTCAGTATAGACAACATGAGATATTTTACTCTCCAGTGACCAATCAATGATATGAAGTTGTAATTGAGTAATTTTGAGACAAGATGATTGTAAAATCAGTAGATGAGATACTACAGATGTGGGTAATCTGAGTTCTCCAACTGATCATTATCAGGGATCTTGTCTACTGTACTATTCTGTCTGTTCAATTAGCCTAGCAGCTGTATTGCATCTTTCTGTCAAAAAGATTGAAACGATACTGAGTATAAGTGAAACGCTTCATTACTGAGTAATAGTCATCACATTCATTCAGTAGTGCAAAATCAAACAATGGTATAGCCTATCAATCATTTTCTGGTTTGGTTAGTAATGACCGCCCTTAATATAGTAGTGAGTTTAAAGTCACTAACAGATCAGATATTTGCTGAATATTAGCACGTTAACCATCATTCGTAAGCGGTACACTAAAATTTTCACATAATTACATTTATCCTGCATATATTCGTAAATTAATTACTTTTTCGTGGTAAGAGAATGGCAGTCACTTAAGAAAACGGTATTTCATAATTATTTCGCCATTCTACTACTACTCACACTACTACCAGTCATACTACTACTACTACTTCAGTGGGCATAACCAAGACGTACTGCCCAATATTTTAACTGGTTGATTCATATGACTGTCACCGTAACACATACTATGCTTGTATGTGTGTGTGTACGTGTAACTATTTCTGCTGGCACTTTTTGTATAAATTGCTCAGGAATGTACACTTTAATTATAGAACTGTCCTTCTACATTACTTTTTCACTACTATTGTAGTGATTGGGAACACTTGGAAATTGAATCATTTGTCAAGAAAATATAAAGGATTGAATATAAAATATAAAGGTTTGATGTGGTGAGTTTATACAGAACAATGAGTAGGATTAAATTTGATAATTGATAAGGACTACCGATAATCTTGATTCCGAGTAAATATTCATAATCTGTCCGCTTAGTAGTATTTTATTTTTCCACATGTCTGCTGAGTAGTTTTCAACAATGAAATGACACTAAATTGAAGGATAATTAAAAGCTTGGAATCATTGAATAGGTGTTTCATCCTAAACTGAAATTCCTTACCAATCCGTGGACGTTCACAAAGTTGTTAGGGATTGGGCTCAAAATATTCCGATGTCAGGTAGAGGACATGATTATGTAGTCGTTAGGTTCAAACCCAGTGGCCGATATTTCCCCTACTTCAACTCACAATACAGCACAGGCATCATGGAATGTCATAAGTTGTTAGTTTTCCATATATCGAACTTAGTTATTCACACACATCATGCCTCATCGTATATATATATATATATATATATATATATATATATATATATATATATATATATATATATATATATATATATATATATATATATATATAACTTCATATAGTTCTCCTGATTCGTGACAGCAAGAATAACAAAGCTACCGGAATGTACAAACCCTTATTTTGGGGGATTTCTTTCAGCCGTTTTATAATCGATACGCATTACGTTGACTATAAAATAGTAAAGTACCCAGCGCATTTTTATAACGTTGGCAAGCAAGATGTTGATCTACATGCAAGATAATATAGTAGACCGATTCAAAATTAGTGGAAAAGAGTAAAATGTTTAGGAGTTGTCGATTGCCTACTATGATTGGAATAACTGAATAACCATTCTACAGAATATAATTTCAGTTAAGATGATATTTTATAAAGTTACACTCCTGAACAGCGACCAGTTAACATCGCGGGTTAAATACGTGTAATGTATAAAGTTAACAGATCTCGAATTACTTGAAAACAAGATAAATAGAACTGATAAATTAAGGATAGATCTCAAAATTGATAGCAAGAGGCATTAAGTCACAAAATTATCTAACAACAACTTCTGAAAACCAAAGTTACTGTTGTAGTGGTAGATTGGTGTTCATTGTTTTGTGAACACATAGGTCTGCTTTGCTAGAAAATTAATTTTCAGTGGAGTACTCAGTCTGTGACTAATTCTTCATACAATGTCATCCAATCTGAAGCCAGCATGTAGACAGATCAACCTCTATGAAGCTATACTATACTTGTGGATAAATATTTTCCTACAGGTAGTATTCACCAATGATCAATCCATCTTCGATTATTTTGCCTTTATTTGTTCCAATCGACGGTAGTGGTGAGGTCCAAAATGTACATTTTTTGATTAGAAACTACCCAGCTGAATATGTCTGGATTCATGTGATTGGTAGTATCTCCTCATGTGGGTTGAACCCAACACCTAACGATTGGAGCACCATTGGATTATTCGTCAGGTTACTGACATCTGATAGTCATCTCTTGTGTCATGAGTATAACTTATTACCAGTGCCTGCTTTGAATTTCAATCAACCAGGCTTCCATTACAGTTGGAAGGTGATTATGTAGCCTGCGTTTTGAAATCAGATACCTTACATTTCATGAGTTCTATCAATTTACTGTGTAGCTTGATTGTCATTCGCCATGCTCTTCCACAAAGGAATTGTCTAACCACACTGATGACACCCTCTCTTCATAATAATAGGAAATTCACCTCATAGTTATTAATATAAGAGTAAACTTTGCGCACTGTGGTAGAATGCATTTCCATTTTTATTCATTTATCAGATTTGTCACACAGTGAGGGAACATTATTGCCATTTACTGGATTACATTTAGGACATAATTTATTTTCCATATTAACAAATCAAGATAACGACAGAACTTTGAGATATCCTTTATATATTCCTAATTTCTCCTTACTACTCATATGGATAGTAAGATTTTCCACATATCCGTAACAGGTGCTGAGTCATTCCTGTTGCATATATTAGATGTTGGCTGATTCGATAAACGCAAATTCAGTTAGCCATCTCCCCCTCTACCACACTATCTTGGCAGACATATTTATCGAGAGTTGGAAACGCATGACTGTCGATACATTTAGTCCTGCTGCTAGAGTACAGTTTCGATATGCAGATGACATGTTTACAGTATTGACATCAGAGCACATAAATAATTTCTTCATACATGTACATTCAGCAGTCAGCTCAATCTAATTCACCTATGAGTTAGAAAATAGTGAAAGGGAATTAGCTGTGTTGGACTGCAGAATAAAACGGAAGCAAGATGGACGGTTAGACACTAGTGTCTACCGAAAAGCTTCACATACAAGTCGTCTCACCCTATGTTAGTTAAAGTTGGGTTAGTGAAGTGTCTAAGTAAGAGGAGTAGAAAACTTACCAGTGAGACAGAAGATGTAAGACAAGAAACCAATTACATCAAAGACACCTGACTCATCAACAATTATCCTCCCAAATTAATTGAAAAGTTCCCATTGAAATCTTAAGAAGAATATAAATAATATTGGTAACGTAGGCGTTAACAGAAGTCATAATGATCGTAATGATAGTGGTGGCAATACCGTGAAGGGAGAATTTAAAACCTCTAAGTTGTTGCTATGCAAAGAAGACACCTCATAAACACTACGTAGGATTCTTAATTAGACTAAGTGGGATAAGAGTAGCATTTAAACCGATATACTCATTTCAAAATAAGTTTAGCAGCTTAAAAGTTCCCATTGATTCAATTAAGCAGAATAACTTAGTTTACCAAATCTCTTACAACGACTGAGAGATCAAATACATACGTGAAAGTTGTCAACTAAGATCAGTTAGGCTATTCGAACCCAAAAACCCACCTGGGCCAAAATTGATAGATTCTAGTGAGGTAAGGAATTTAGAAAAATAGCTGAGCCGTAACTATGCATGAAATTATACACGATAGGATGCGACAGGGTGAAAATGCTCAAAACTAACAGGGTGTAGGGAGAGACTGATAACTGATTCTTTGTTGATCAAATCAACCAACACCCAATAAATGCAACAAGAATAACTCGGCACCTATTCCGGATGTATGGGAAATTTTACTACCCATGTCTCAAAGGAGGCGAGGAAATTAAGACTATATAAGGATTATCACAAAGTCGTATAGTTATCTCCATATGATAAATGTGGACAGTAAATTATGTCCGACATGTAATCCAGTAAATGACAACACTGACAAATCTAGTAAATGAATAAAACTGGAACCACCTCATAGGTAGTCACTATTGAGCACTGAATTGTATAGTAACACACTTGGGTAGTTGATGAATATAAATACTTTTTTGTTTTTTGCATTCTATACTTAAATTAAATCCTGTGTAAATCACCTTTGTAGTGGTATTACAGAACTACTATTGAAAATGATTGACTACGTATATAGAAAATCAAGAAAATATTTTATCACTCGAAAGATTCAATCCATCCTAACAGAAAATCTTTTACGTATCTTTATCGCTACTATAATAATACTAATATTGTTAGTAATATTGAATTATTGGCGGGAAAAAGCAAATTATATTCCACCATATCAAAATATGAAAAGTGAATCTATTGAAATGTGTGAAACCTTTTTAAGAGAGACACCAATTCAACGAGTAGCTGAAAAATTCAAATCTTATTCAACACAGAAAGATCTTTATCGTCAATGGAATGGAGTAAACTATTGTAACCAATTTAAAGGATTAATTGAACCGCCTCTGCAACTTAATGATGAAGAGAAAGCTTATCCAATAGCTTACTCCATGTTAGTTTATGAAGATGTTGGTAGAGTGGCTCGATTATTACGCTTAATTTATCGATCGAATAATATTTATTGTATACATGTGGATAGAAAGTCTTCTGATTGGTTCTATGAAGAAATTCTGAAATTATCTCAATGTTTTAATGGTAATATACATGTTATCAAGCGATCAAAGAGTATACCTGTAAACTGGGGACATTATTCAGTACTAGAAAGTTTCCTTATTTGCGCTGATACACTACTGAATGATACGAATGTTAATTGGAAATATTTAATGAATATAAATGGAAAAGAATTACCATTACGTACAAATTGGGAATTGATTTCTGCATTGAAAGCATTGAATATGTCAAATGTTGTAGAAATGGCTACACGATATGGAATTGAAGGTCGAATACCTGAAAAGAAGCCAAGTTTCCCAGCAAGTTATATCATTCATTGAACTAAGTGACTTTTCTTGCTTACTGAACAATAAACTTTAACAAAATTTGTTCATTTTATTTAATTATATTTAGATGTGAATGTGATAAAAGTTGACAAACATAGTACTACTCATTACAAGTAGGTGAATTCACACATACAGCTACCCTATTACAAAATCCAACAACTGTCATTACTATGATATATTTTGGGCTGAGAGAGAGGGAGAGAGAAAGTTTCAGTTAGCGTAAACGTGTTTCATCTAGACATCTTTTTTTGTCACAATGGTGAGGTAAGAAGCAATAGAATGTTTCTGAACAGATAAGGCGAAATGCATCCGATTTTAAATAAGTCCAAATATGCGAGCTTGATAAGTTGTATTTAAGGACAAGTTGCCAGTTTGTGCATCCTCAGTGTGTGTGTGTGTGTGTGTGTACCAATTTAATTGCTCCTGTGAAGCTAATTATATTATTATTATTACTATTTGTCCCTTGGGTTCCTAATAGAATATTGGGCTTCAGTAGTACATTTCACTCTCTTCTCTGGAGTCTTTTCAACCTGGCTCCATGACAGCCCACAAGCTCTCATTTCCTCCTCACACGATCTCCTCCATGTCACTCTCGTACGTCCAACTCGTCGCTTCCCATCGGGATTCCACTACAGTGCCTGGCCTGACGCGTGATGTCCTCAGTCGGCCTTCTCAGTGCATGCCCAATCCATCTCCACTTCCTTCCAGTGCATATTTGTTGGGTGATAGGTTCTTGGTTGGTTCGTTCCCAGAGCTCCTTGTTGCTTATTCTTATTATTCTGGCAATCCATCTGATCTTCAGTAACGAGCCAACGTAGGCAGTTGTTGATGAATGTGTGTAGTTTGTTGGAAATCCCTTTCGTAACGCGCCAAGTCTCTCAACAATCACACAGAAGCACTGACTGACACACTGGTGTTGAGAACTCGGATCATGTTCCACATGCTGAATGCAGACCTCCACACTGGTTTTAGGTTAATGAACGCCCATCTTGCTGTCTTTCCGATCCTTGTTTTGACGTGCTCGTCTGTGCCGCCGCCTGTAGTTGAAACGATGCTTCCCTGACTAGATAGGTGAAAGAGGCTACTTCCTTTAAGTTTCTCCCATTGATGGTGATTGGAGCTTGTTGTTGCTGTTGTTGTTTGTTGGGTATCTTGATCACTTGTGTCTTCTCTATATTCACTTGAAGTCCTGTCTTCGCTGCCCTGCCCTGCTCTGCCCTGCCTCTTCTGTCAACTTGTTAGTTTTTGCCTGTAGGTCTTCAAGTTTGTGTGACATGAGACAGAAGTCATCGGTGGTGAAATCCAAATCTTCTAGGTTCTTTTCCGCAGTCTAGCCAGCTTATCCCCCTCTTCTCGCTCCTCACTGTTTGTTGCATGATACAGTCCAGTCGACCACAGTCAGGAATATCACTTCACTTCAAAAGTATCAGTGAGCTTCCTATTGTGAATTACTTGGCATGTGGCGTCTTCATATAGCTGTTGTTGAATGAGGCTGATAAAGGTTTGTGGTATAACGTATTGTTGAGGCAGCTGCCTGGTAAATTAGTTGTCGTTGGACGCTGTCGAAGGCCTTTTCAAAATCGATGAAGTTGAGGTAGAGTTGAGTTGACTGCCATTTTATGCTCTGTTCAATTATGATGCGTAGCTTTGCGATTTCGTCCGCACATGATTTGTACTTGCTGAAGCCTGCCTGTTTCGGTCGTAGTTTTGAATCCAGTGCATCTTTAGGCCTCTCCAGGATGATGAGGCTTAATATTTTGCTTGGGGTGGACAGGAGCATGATTCCATGCCAGTTCTTACAAACACTGAGGTCTCCCTTCTTCGGCAGTTTGACAAGGTAGCATTTCTTCCAGTCAGTGGGCAGGTACCTTCCCTTCCTCCCTTCAAGACCTTCTGCAATACTGGTGTGGTGTGAGCATGTCCGTTGTTGTCTCTGTGTCTGCTCTCAGTGCTTCTGGTGGGATTCCATCTGGTCCTGCTGCTTTCCCATATTCCAGTGGCTTTATGGCGCTCAGGACTTCGACTATCTTCGGAGGACTTGTGTTCACTTGTAGTTCAGTGGCTGCAGGTGGTGGTCGATTCAAGAGCTTTTTGAAATGGTCAGCCCATCGTTTCCTTTGGCAATTCGGTATCCTTCATCATCTTTTATTGGTTTCATCTGTGTTGATCTCTTCCCAGATAGTAATTTGGTTATTTGATACAATGTTGTCAGATCTGTGTCTCTCCTACCTTCAGAACAGACTTGTTCTGCTTCACTTGCCGGTGTGTCGTGGAAGCGTCTTCTGTTTTTCCATTCACTCTTCTTCACTTCTTTGTTCAGTGTTTTATACATTGCACTCAGCTCCACTTCTCGTCGTTCATCCTTGCACTGCACTGGTTTGTCTTCTGCTTCACCATCCTCCTCTCCTGTATCAGCTTCCATGTGTCCGTCGAGATCCATTCCTTATCTTCTTTCTTATTCCTTTCCGATACGCTTATGCAGATTTCTTTTCACAGAGTTTTCTGAGTCCCAGTGCTCATCCACACAGGTTTCTTCAGGGATGTTCCTCGATATCTCCCATTTTATCCTGATGACTGACGTGAAGATGTTCTTTGTAGTTTCATCCTTCAGTTTCTGTTCCGAGTGTTGTACTTGAACTGTGATCTATCACCTACTTCCTTGAAGGCTTTTAACTTGATTTTGAAGGTTTCTTGCACTAGATAGTGAGTGGTGTGAACCTACATCTGCTCCCCCTCTTGATCTGGTGTCAAGTAGACTACGTCTCCACTTTCCTGATATTGAGATGAAGCAGATCTGATTTTTAGTGTGTCCATCTGGGGAAATCCATGTTGCTTTGTGAATATCTTTGTGCTTGAACACACTGCCTGACTCCAATCACCAAATCGTTGAATGCGCAAACAATTCTCCATTCTCGTTCATCACCTCACCGAGCGCTTCTCAACCCACGGTTAGTTCTCTTCCTGTGTTGTCCCCTCCCAGTTTGGCATTCATGTCACCCCACCCATTAGAATTTTGATATCGCCAACTGGAGTGGCGTCTTGTCCAGTGTTGATTGTAGTTGTCTGCAGAACTCCTCCTTTTTCTCTTGATCTGCATTATTTGTAGGTGCATAGCATTGTATGATTGTGACCTTTCTTCCTTTTGAATTGAATCCTGATGTCATGATCCTGATGCTGGAGGAGATTGCTTCCACTGCATGAGAAAGAGCCTTCGATGCTATTGGGGACATCATGATAGCCACTCCAAAACTCAGTGTGCTCGTGGTTGTTGTCTGGGTGACAATATCGGAGTAGATTATTGATTGTCCAGTTGACAGTCTGAAGAGTCCGCCTCCATTCCACCTGCTCTCGCGAATTCTAAGCACTTCAATGTGATACCTTCTCATCTCGTTTGCAATCTGAGCAGCCTTACTAGGTTCAAACATGGTGCGGACACTTCATGTCTACACGTTTACTTTCGCTTTCATCGAGAGAGAAGAAACATAGGGGAATTGGCTTTGTGAAGGCTTTCACCGACCGGCGTCCTTTCAACTCTGCGATTCCAGTGAGGACTAAGTTTGTTTTTATTTTTTTTATATTTGGTGTGTGCTTTGAAGTTTCCTTAGCGGTTGATTGGTTTTACGGGTTAGTGTTACTAGCCTTATGCCCAACCTTCCCTCTTTACCTGAGCTTAGGACCGGCTAGTAACTAGTGGACTAGTTAACCAGGCGAGGTTATATAGGCTACACTAATCAAGCACTTTCCAAACGTATCTATGAGCACTACCCTGCACGGTTGTCAAGGGGGGAATGTAAATCAATTCACAGTTCAGTTCACGAACATTTGGTCAACTCTGGATATATAGCTCTATCAGAGTCTTCCTTTAGTGTCATTTATAGAGTCAAATGGAACAGTTGAAGAAGAGTATACCTTCAACAGTTGTGTACAGTAGAAGCTCTGACAGTTCATCAATTCAAACCTGGTCTCTACGTTCCCAAAGAGTTTGTTCAGTCTCATATCTTACCATGGTCTGAACACTTTCGTAACTCTCTGCTGATCTCATAATGATCAGTTGGCTCATTATTATCACCTTCATTGTGACCCTCGTCTCATTCTTCACCTTCTTTATATCTACCTACCTATCTACGAAGTGGACACTTAATATTCACATTTCTCATCTGCCGACAATTTTTAACTTGTCAAACTCCTTGTCTTCCTCATTATTTCCACCACCTAAAAGAAGATTATTGCGCCGCAACTGCTTTCCGTTCTTGATTTCAGTTCTTTAGCACTAGCTTAATGATGAAATTAACCCCTATTCTTTGATAACAGACTATTATATGTTTATGATATATATAAATAGGATTGTACAGCTTTAGAAAGTGATAACATCGAGAAAGAAAATTTTCCTCACTAAATTGTCTCTTCTTTTCCCTCGGTTTAATAATTTAAAAACTGTTCTCAGTCAAGTACTAACTTGTGTCTAAAGCCAATGATTGTTTTCCACCTGGACTTGTCAACATTCTTAGCTTCATCTACGCTAGTAACCGTTTGATGGCTATGTTTTATTACTGTCTATAGAGTATGTATGTGAGTTGATATATATTCAGTGGAGTGTATGTTTTAGATCACCATGGGTTTGTAGCAGACAACAAAGAGGATCATATCATTTGATTCCCTTCTTCTTAACATGGACCGAAATCTCTACATGTCGATGAAATATAGAGTGAGTTTTAGTCTCCACTGTCTTTTATGCTGATTCATCAACAGCAAAGGGATGCCTGTTATGTAAGAAAGCATTCATCAACACCTCAATTTCTTTTTCTAATGTATCTATTGTGTCATAGTGAATGATGTAGATAATATTGAAAACCTGAATTGCAATTTGATATTCATTGAGCTTTCATATTTACCTGTGGCTGTTATGTCACTAGACTTGGTGACAAAGTAACATCAGCTTTATGAGGTACTTATGAATTTACTGTTGAAAAAGTTATCTAATCTGATGGTGAATCGTTGACGTTTGAATATTGAAGTTCAAAGAGCAGGAAATTCCCATGTATAAATTCATTTAAGCAAGAAGTTGAACGAACATAATTTTTGTCAAACCAAAGAAAGCATTTGTGAAAATTAAAGTTTTATTTCCTTTAGGGAGGTTTATTATTAACTAGAGAACGCATCAACACTAGTATCAACCATATCAACAGTATTGGGAAAGTATATGTGATTAATGTATACCATTTTAAATGATAGGCTGACACTTAAAACTACTTAGAGCAGCCACGAAGTGACCACACCTTGCTGAAAGACTCGTTTGAGACAGAATTATTTTGTGTGGAAATGAGATGATTTGAAAGTGGACCTATATGGAAAAGTTCCAAATTGGATTACCGAAAGTGGTATAAAGTTCTCATTAAATTGATATCATATTGTTAATGATTATTCTTCGACAACATATTACTGAATAATGAGATAAAATTACAGAATGAAGGTGTAGCACACGTATTGGCACTCTAATCACTGATTAACAGTAGTAAAACTGCATATATAAGTTTTCACGGATAGACACTGGACATGAATTATTAGGTATGAGATTTTCCGGGTGAGATTCAAATTCTACACATGATATAAAAGTTTTAATGTAGAAATTAAATTCATGTCATACGATTAGAGACAGTCGGCAAGAAGCTTCATTCTACCCAGGTTGTGCAGTTCTTGGGACTCATCAGCAAGGTGTGTCTGCAACCATGAGGGAACTGATGCCCCGTGTGAGATTGCGACCCAATTCACCAAGTATTACAGTCAGCGATGCTATTATTGAGCTATTTGAGCAATGACCAACTTCTTGTAAGACTATTCTAGACAAATTGATTAGTCACCGGAATGCAACCGATTTCATGTTGTCTGGTCTTGTGTGATGACCGAATTCTAGTCATTATTTTACAGTGTGACTCACCATCGTAGAGTACTTTGATGAATTTTAGTTGGTTGGAAGCAATCAGTAGGAAGACTTGTCCTCGTTTTTGATTGCTGTACACTGAAGGTTCAGAAACAGACCTGAATGAAATTTAATTACTTGTGAAATTACAATGACTTCGTTGTATCATGTTGTTTGATGTTAAAAATATTAGGATCTTTTCAAACCGTTTCACGGAGAGTAAGATCAGGTGAGGAAATGTCTGAGAGTGTCCAAACCAAAAAGTGAGATCAGTGAGTGAAATATCTAACAGTCTCCTTGAATCTTGTTAGATATCTAACGTAGACCAGACCATATGATTAAGGTCTACAAGGTTCTAAGAATCTATAGCTGTAGTCCCCATTTGGTATGATTCCGAATTGATCATACTGACGTAGATGTGTTCACTTACTATCACCTTCCCAACTTCTGAACATGTTAACAACCTTCAGCGAACTTTGTCCTTTCTTTTCTATTTGTTTCTGTTTACTTCTAATTTGTTCGTTGTTACCAAGTGTGATAATGTGAGAAAATGAAGTTTGGTGTGAAACATTCTATGTTAATATGGTAATCTGTAAAGCTGTTATTCTCTTACACCTTAAAATTTGTTCACATAACCTTTAAACGGACTATATACATCTATACTTATCATGTATTGTATACTTTAGTATACGTATGCTGTATGCTGATGTTTGAAAAAATAACAACAATAGACGATTGTTCATTGAAACTTCCAATTAATACCTTCGTTATGATGGATCGAATTTATCGATCTACTTTGACATATGGGCTCATATACTAATGGTTCGGTGTTTTGAAGTGGTCTGAAATGTGAGTCCTACATTCTAGCAAGACAGTGATAACTAGTATCGCAGATACATCCAGCTGACGAGTCCTAAGTAGGACGAAATGCGCATCCTGGATTCCACTGCTAGCCACTGCCCATCATTACTATACATAATTAAAAACAACGGCAATATCGAGGCATCCGCGCAGGAGCCTATATACCAACAGAGACTGATCAATTCGGTCCAATCAACGACGGTGTCATACAAGCAATAACACTAAAACTATACCCGTCGCACAAGAAGTGGCTATCATGGCTTGGGCGTTTGAAGCGGTCGCTTCCCAGTCCGAGCCCCGGTGGGAACAACATCACTCACTGGGAGGCAGGTACATTCAGCTGACGAATCCTAAATAGGACGAAATACGTATCCTGGATTCCACTACTAGCCACTGCACATCATTACTATACACTATGTTGAACTTATTCTTCTAGTGTGATGATTAAATGAGGTGGGAGATAGTGAGAAAATTTTGGTTGCTTTATAATTCTGAGTTAGTATTCATTAAGGAATGACTCACATCAATTGGAGAAAGATTGGAAACTTGAGAAGACTGGATAGTTGTTCCCTCCTAGTATGGAACTTCTTGGAAGTATGCATTCAAGATCCCGCCTGGCGTCGAACTCCAGACCTTCAGGTTCCGTGGTCAGTACGTTACCATTGAGCCACTTGGTCGAAACTTAATCGTCCCATACTAAGATGAAAAGCTTTTCAATGTTTCTGCAACTGATCCCATTCGATCATGAATATCAACCTGAAATCAATAAGTATATCCCCGCAAACCTTTAAAATTGGGTTATAATCTTGACATGCTGAAGAGTTAAATGTACACTAATATAACTGAAATCGTCTCCTTTGACAAGTCTGTTGCATGTGCTGGCCAAAGATATCTTTCTTTGAAAATGTTGTCTTGATTAAGTGAATCAAATTTTTGAAGGTATACTGATATAGTCAATGAACTTCCAAGTAAAGCTAATAAAATTTATTACTTAAAATATCTGAAAAGATTTCATTGGTAGATATTATTAAAACTGTTTTATTTACTACAGGTAACATGGGTCAAAGGAAGTTTTCATATCGCTTTACGAAGAGATATGATTCATTATTTACTGAATGATAAACATGCATTAGAGTTGACAAAATTATTCAAAGAAGAAGAACATCTATTGAAGATTCCAGATGAAATGTTATTCAGTACATTAGTATATAATCCACAACTTGGAGTTCCAGGAGCTTGTCTTAGCATGCATGAATCATCAAATGATGAAAATTCTAAATGGAAATTTATTGGACGATATAAAATCTGGTGGCCAGATTATTGTGCATCAAAGCATATTGTTCGTGGTATCTGTATATTTGGTGTACAACATTTACACACATTTACACAAAGAATTGAATTATTCGCTAACAAATTCAATGATGGATTTCATGATTTAGCATATGATTGTTTAGAATATTGGATTTTAAAGAAAATCAAAAATGAACAATTAACAGGCAAATTGGCTAAGGGATTTAATACAACAATCTACTCTAGATTATTTTGCTCTCAAAATCATATCTAAAGGGAAGTGTTATTCAAAGGATACACATTAATCATATCAGTTGACTAGTGATATAATCCCTATACACATTGAAATGTTTACATACATATATAGTTCTATTATTGGTGTAAATTTTTCATATCCTCCTTGTTTTCTTCTACAATATACAAAAATGTTGAGTAATAAAAGTTAAAGTTTTTCACTTGTTCAAAGTAAACGTTCATGTGTTAAAATAAAAGATTTATTAATAAATGTGTAAAACTTGGGCACTCTGGTAGAATTTAATCCCATGTTAGATTTATTTATTTGATTTATAACACACAGTGATCAAGTATTATTTACTTGATAACGATGATTCGAGCATAAATTACTATTGCTCATAATCGTATCAATGTAATTCCCGACCGATAGCTGCTACCTTGACGTAGTGGTCGGACTTGCATATCACAATGACCCAACGAGCTATGCTGGTGGAACGCTTGTTCCCTCGAGGTTCTACCATACCAGAAAGGTCTTTTGGATAGTGGTTAGACGAAAAGCAGTTACCGTTGTGGTGTAAATTGCTACACTATGATGGGGGTCTGACGATGAAGTCATACTGCTGCTAGCAGGATGGGGTGTGACAGCAGTAAGGTGTTTCCCTTAGATGACCAGCAGTGTCATGCTGATGCTGCCTTCTCAGTGGAAGGGGGGGGTTAGAAAAGGTCGGCCCCAAAAATAATACACACCACCATGCCCCACGGTCTGCCGGGCCGGCGGTGTTGGTTCATTTTTTATTTCCTTTGGAGCATCCAGGCCCCAAAAATATAAAAGTTCAAAATAATCATACTCAAAAAGCTTTCTTGTGACAGGCCTCAAACAGATGTCTGATGGGCTCTGAGGTCACACAAATCCCTCACAGGTACCTTAAGAAGAAATAGTCTTCGGTGGTATGGGCAGCCAGGAAGTGTCAACCGCCCTCACAACCCTGTCAGCATTCAAGTTTCTTCTGACTGCTGCCCATCTCCTCTAATGTAATCACACTACTTTCGATATTCGATTCTTATAGTTATGTCATCTCATATGATTTGTTTATATTGGTAGCAAAATTTTCCATATCTCTGGTACAGGTGTTGCATCATTTCTATTACATGTGTTGCATGTTGATTCAATGAATAAATATTCAGTAATCAATCTCTCTCGCACTCTCCACCTAAGTATATTGGACTTAAGTACAGTACAGTGGCTTTATCCCACCCACCCTATTGTGTGGTTGTGTTAATGCGTTCATAACAATGGCCGAGCTACTTTCTAGATTATTGATCTTATTTGGTTCTGTTTTTTCATATTTACCTAAATTCCTAGGTTTCGTTATTCAAACTGACCGCGACCGACTAGTTTGACCCACATACTTGACCTCACAATCATTCCATGGGAGTTGGTAGATTATATTATTTTGCATAATTGGTTCTATCGGATCCTTAAGCCAGCCGACAAAGTTTATCTCTGAGTGAGTTTGTAAGTTTAAATCCCACCCTAATTCAGCTCTGTTGGGGATCTTAAGTAGAGTTTCTGATGTTCCTTCGTTGTAGGATAACACAATGGAGATTGTGAACTCCTTACTACTCGTGTTGTCGTTATTATTCGTACGCATGTTACTGTTATTTTTTCGTTTCTTGTATTATTATTATTATTATTATTAGTCCCTTGGGTTCCTAATAGAATATTGGGCTTCAGTAGCACATCGCCATTTCACTCTCTTCTCTGGAGTCTTTTCAACCTGGCTCCATGACAGTCCACAAGCTCTCATTTCCTCCTCACATGATCTCCTCCATGTCACACTCGGACGTCTAACTCGTCGCTTCCCATCGGGATTCCACTCGAGCAACTGGCCTGACGCGTGATGTCCCAGTCGGCCTTCTCAGTGCATGCCCAATCCATCTCCACTTCCTCCTGCATATTTGTTGCGTGATAGGTTCTTGGTTGGTTCGTTCCCAGAGCTCCTTGTTGCTTATTCTTTCTGGCAGTCCATCTGATCTTCAGTAACGAGCCAGCGTAAGCAGTTGTTGATGAATGTCTGTAGTTTATTGGAAATGCCTTTCGTGACGCGCCAAGTCTCTGAACCATACAGAAGCACTGACTGATACACTGGTGTTGAAAATCCGTATCTTGTTCCACATGCTGAGTGCAGATCTCCACACTGGTGTCGGGCTAATGAACACCTGTCTTGCTGTCTTTCTGATTCTGACTTTGACGTCTTCGTCTGTGTCACCGCCTGTAAATGAAGCAGTGCTTCCTAGATAGGTGAAGGAGGTGACTTCCTTTAAGTTTCCCCCGTTGATGGTGATTGGAGTTTGTTGTTGTTGTTGGGGTTGTTGGTGCGGTATCTTCATCACTTCTGTCTTCTCTATATTCACTTGAAGTCCCGTCTTAGCTGCCTCTTCTATCAACTTGTTAGTTTTTGCCTGCAGATCTTCAAGTTTATGTGACATCAGGCAGAAGTCATCGGCGAAATCCAAGTCTTCTAGGTTCTTTTCCGCAGTCCAGCCATTGTATCCCCCTCTTCTCACAGCTCTCCACTGTTTGCTGCATGATCCAGTCGACCACAATCAGGAATATCATGGGTGATAGTAGGCAACCTTGTTTCACTCCCGTCTTCACTTCAAAAGCATCACTGAGCTTCCCATTGTGAATTACTTGGCATGTGGCATCTTCATATAGTTGTTGAATGAGGCGGAGAAGGGTTTGCGGTACTCCGTAGTAATGAAGCAGTTTCCAAATTACTTCTCTGTTGATGCTGTCAAAGGCATTCTCAAAGTCGATGAAGTTGAGGTAGAGAGTTGATTGCCATTCCATGCTCTGTTCAATTATGATGCGAAGCGTTGCAATTTGTGTTATCCTACAACGAAGGAACATCAGAAACTCTACTTAAGATCCCCAACAGAGCTGAATTAGGGTGGGATTTAAACTTACAAACTCACTCAGAGATAAACTTTGTCGGCTGGCTTAAGGATCCGATAGAACCAATTATGCAAAATAATATAATCTACCAACTCCCATGGAATGATTGTGAGGTCAAGTATGTGGGTCAAACTAGTCGGTCGCGGTCAGTTTGAATAACGAAACCTAGGAATTTAGGTAAATATGAAAAAACAGAACCAAATAAGATCAATAATCTAGAAAGTAGCTCGGCCATTGTTATGAACGCATTAACACAACCACACAATAGGGTGGGTGGGATAAAGCCACTGTACTGTACTTAAGTCCAATATACTTAGGTGGAGAGTGCGAGAGAGATTGATTACTGAATATTTATTCATTGAATCAACATGCAACACATGTAATAGAAATGATGCAACACCTGTACCAGAGATATGGAAAATTTTGCTACCAATATAAACAAATCATATGAGATGACATAACTATAAGAATCGAATATCGAAAGTAGTGTGATTACATTGGTATGATTATGAGCAATAGTAATTTATGTTCGAATCATCGTCATGAAGTAAATAATACTCGATCAATATATGTTATAAATCAATTTTAATATGGAATAAAAGATTTATAGCTTCGGATGTGAATGATAATTGTTTCAGTGTTCTTCAGGTATGAGGTGTGTTTAATGAGTTTATCGGATTCCTGGTACTTGGTTATATTATCTCATTAGCTGTCACCTTAGAAACTTGTTTCTTCATTGTATACATCTTCATATGATGTTGTACAAATTTGAGTCTATGTAATTTTTATAGCTCAGTGTGTATAGCATCGAGTCGAACACCCGGTGGTCGCTGGTTTGAATCCTACTGCCGTCCAAAACTTTATTTCACCTTCAATCATCACAAAGTATCAAAACAAGTCTGCCAAACCACGACTATTTCAGACAGTGTATACTATGCTCCTCTCCTGCTTAATTCATTCAGATTTGGATTGGGATAAGAAGTCCTGACTGGGCTGGTAGTCATTGAATCTAAACTGTACATTAAACGTAAATCTTAATATTAGTTCCTTTAGGTGGCTCGTAGATAATCCAATGTTAATATTGTTAGAATCAGTGTAATCACATAGATAACAAACGGTTTCAACGAGTGGAACATTGGTAAATAAAGAACAAACATCAAGCGATATCATACGCTTACTTGTTACGTTGATATCTCCGATGCAGCGAACAAAACCAAATGGGTCGGGAAGACTATATTTGCATAGATTTGATCTCACCGGATCCTTAAAGGGAATGGATCTGTTGAATTATTATATACTGTACCACAAGTCTTGTTTGGAATAAAGCTATTTATTATTATTAGACAATCTGAGGAGAACGCAAGCGGAAAGGTTAACATCTGAAACCAGTTGGTTATCATCGTCAATATAGGACAAGACATTACTTTCTAATGGTGACAGTTATCACACCTCATATCAACACATCACATAACAAAGGAATAAGATGAAAGATGAAAAAATGAGGGAGAATTAGTCAAAAGCAGTAGAAAATAGTAAAACATGAGGAAGGAGGAATAAGAAATTGCTGAATTCACTTTAGTTGGGTATAGTCAGACTCTTTGTTTATGTCTCTAATATAACAATAGATAGAGAATAGGAAAACTAAAAGTACTAATCATTTTCAACATTGTTTTCAAAACAAGTTGCTTTGTTCAGTATATATATGTGTATATATAAGCGAAGTGTTTTACTGGTAAAATTCTTTCTCACTCATCTTTAATAATGAAATACTTCATTGATAAAATGTATATGTATATCATCATATCATTTTTATACATTTTACACATGAGTTCACAGACTTCACAACTTGATTCCAGTGTAGTCGAAGTACAAATTAAGCCGTCTTATTATATTCTGCCTAGTGTATCCACCTTCTGTCAAGCTAATCAACTATGTTATAACCACGGATTTTCAGTTGGTAAACAATTGACATTACCAAGGAAAGAAGATTTAAAATATTTGAATATAAGTGGAAATACACTTTCATTTTGGATGGTATATAGCACTTTGTTAGCTTCACAGTATGATAAACCAATAACATGGAGATATTATGATCCATCTCTAAAGATTATTGATATAGATCAACTGAGATTCACAAAGTTTCTACCATCTAATTTTAAAAGTATTGAATGTTGTCTAATCAGTTATGGTTCAGTAGAGTCATTTGAAGTGGTGGCTTGTAAGACTATGCGAACAGTGATATGCATTGAACAAATCCATATGAATGTTAAAAAATACTTGAATATTGATTCAGCTATCTCAGTAAAGAGGTTTAAGTCTGAGAGATTAACTATCACCGGTCCTGTATTATTCAATGATTATGGACATGGTTGTTATACAACACTGGCTAGAAATACTGTATTACAGTGCACTATTGAGTAAGTTTACATTGACTGTGTATCTGTGTGTTATACATCGTACTGGTATATTTTTATGCGAAATGAGAAACATCAAAGTTTCAGTATCAAAGAATGCTAAGTAGCAGATATAGCTGAACTTGAAGCTGAATTTATCTGATAAATCCTTCATCCTGGTCTACTTTTTTAACATTATTTCCTCCACATTTTCTCAAATTGTCTATTAAAAAAGTCAAAAAAACTTATCTAACCACAGTGAAGTTGTAGGGAAAAACCGAGTTAGATTCAGTGTCTGTTAACCCCTTTCAAAATGGATATTAGTTGGATGGAGGCAATCGTTAGGATGCTCTTCAGTGTAGTGCTTGTTGGCAGTAGTCAGCAAGGCATATTTGCAGTCCGGAGGGAAATGATTTCCACTATGAAGTATGGACCCAAATCACGCAGTGCTGCAATCAGAGATGTTACCACTGATATATTCTAGTAGTGAACTATCTCCTGCAGGAGCAGATTGGATATATATTGGTTGGCCACTGTTGTTGTCTAGTCGTGAGCACTGACCGACTTCTATCGATCACCTAGGACTGATGTTAGTAGGGTTAGATGTAATGGACAGAAAAAGTTTTTGAACTGAGAACGTTAGGTATACGATGAAAATGACCTAATGTTCTGTAATATTTCATAGTTGACGTCGGGTAACTGTACTAGATGACATCATCAGTGCCAACTTCATAAAGAAATAGACTATGTAAATCGTTAGGTACTGTTTCCCCTGATATTCAATGTTATCCAGTTGTAGGCTTGAAAAGAGATTTTCTTCAGGCCATGGTATCAACCTGGAAAAGAGTCTTTGCAAAATGATAATGTGCTCTTTGTTACTAACGTCCTGCTGAATTATTTATCTAGCTAATCAATGTGTGGTAGTTTTCTTTCTAAGTAGACTGTAGCTTCAGTAAGTATCGATGTGTATTTTGACGAACCTAAAATCTGTCATAGTCTTGGAGCCTTTGGAACCGTCTACTATAGGATTTTGGCATTCAAGCAATTAAGACTTCTTTATGATTATTTGAATATATTGAATCAAGAGTACTTTGAGCAATCTGGTAGCTACAATGGTCAATTTTATGTAACAGATAATCTTTAAAGTTGATTTCTTCAGTTGCCTTGTCTGTCTTCAACTGAGTGCTGATCTTTTCATCAATACAGAATGTTATGTGGAAATTCCGTTGGTCTGTTTTCCACCTCATTCCTCAAAAGGTGAAATCATCACTTGACAGTCTCTAAAACATCTTTGATGAGTTATGAAGTGTTCCATTTACTAAACTGAGATAACTGTACTCATCTTCCCTCATCGATGCGTATCTATCTTTGGATCAGGTTGAATGCATAACTATAGGCTATGGATACTTTATGTAGATTTTCTCCTTCAGATGACTATAATGCTGAAATCCTGTTGAAATATATGTGAAATGGTCTATTGACTTGATGTCTCACAAAACGTTGTAGTGATTATGTGTTATACTTGATGATGCCTCAGCTACTCTGTGATAAGTGGCCAACCTTTCAATTTCCATTTACCCGACATCCCTTCAAAATCGTGATTCACACTGAAGGGATGTATTGTCTTTTCGATTTCGAAGTAGTACTCTGTAACTACTGTTTGAGGTGTATATTGAGACATTTAGATCAACTGAACCAGAATTGAAATATGTTGCATAAAACGGCATGGAATTAAAAATGGTGTTCTTGAAAGAATATAGTGAAAAATGCTCAGAGATAATAACAGTTCAGTCCTGTTTGTAGGAAATGAAAATCAGTAGTTTCTCAAGCACACTAATTTTATATTATCTTCTACAAGTTGGTGTAAAGTAACCTAATTCTGTCATTTTGTCAATACACAAAAACAGTTTCGTATTAACAGTGATCTGTTGTACCTAGGAGTCTGTTATAATCGAATTAAATCAAATTATGTCAAACTGGTGAGTGGATCTACCATGAAATAAAAGATTTTTTTCACTTGATATAACTTAAGCAGAAGACCAGTACATTTTAGATCTTTTTTGTCTCTAACAGTTTCTTTGATATGTATGGAGTGTGTTAATGATTTGCTCATCCTACTAGCTTCCAACAGTTGTAAAAATTTTCACCAAGTTATGACGAATTGCCTGAATTGATTCAGTAGACTAAATCCACACACAAACACAGAAATACGACCGAGGAGGGCATTGCAGAAATGTCTACAGGGGCCTGGATGAGTATAAAAATAGCAACGTAATCTGCAAAATATGCTTCCTGAAATTGCCTTCTGATAACTTCTGAAGATGAAGATGAATTATTGATGACAGACAATGAGTATTTTTTTGTCAGTGTTTCAGATCGACTGAACCAGCTCTTTGGTAATTAATCAACGAAGAAATATTTCTTTTCAACAACTTAATTATCAAGCTGTATCGTCGTATTTATACTCGGTAAATTGACAGATAATTGCACTGAAACGAGATGCTCAGTCAATATGCAAAATATACAGTTTGTGGAGGGGTGGTAGTATTTGTCCAGGTGGAAGAGATAGAAATTGGGTCATTGAAAAAGGAACGAATTGATAACAGGTGGTGTGATAAGAGACAAGTGTTGTCAGAGTTGTAAAACGGTGATAATTAAGCTGGAACGTGTACAATAGGTCAATGAATGAGGAATGAATTGATATTAAAAAGTGAAATATGGGTCAAATGTTGTCAGTGAAGCAAAAACCGGTGATAATAATGATAATAAAAGAGAACTGAAATCGACAAAATCAAAAAAAGAATTGTTAAGGCCAAGGGAGAGAAAGTGGTTTCTCAAAACGTTTTGAATGCTAATGCTTCAGCTGTGCATAAGTGGTGGAAGCGTAAACCTTTGGAGTAGTTCAATTTAACTTTGTAAATTATTTGAAGGATGAATGTCAAGGTGCTGAGTGTCCCAATTCAATAAGGCGTTCACATATGGATGAAGCCGTTTTCCTCTGCTCACCTCTGGTAAGCCAAACCGGGTAGTGTTCAGCAACACGTTTTCGGAGGGCCCACTTACAACGTCCAATATAGTCAGCTCCACAGGAGCATGTGAACTTGTAGATACACATAGAAGTGGACATAAGTGGAAGCCTATCCTTCACGCATTGACGAATCAGACGGCGGCTGGAGAATACCAATCTCAACCTAGCAGGATAGAAGCTACTATTGATACATCTTGACAGACGATTTTTCAACACTTCCGCTATGGTATCTCTTTTGAATTCTAGATTCATGGTTAAAACATTCTTAGGGACTAATGGGGTAGGGAGTGGTTCGTTTCTTTAGATTCTTATCAATAAATCTCTCAGGGTATCCGTTATTAGATAGTATTATTCTAAGAGTTTCGATTTCAGCATCCACCGTATCTTCTGAACATATTCCATAGATTCTGGAACGCAGTGAGTGAGTATGATTTCTGTTACAACCAAGAGGTACCCAACTATAAAATTTAGTGAACTGCGCGATCGAAGTTGATTTTCGAGAGACTGACCTTTGAATCGAACCAGCATCCCTTCCCGTTAAGATTACGTCTAGAAGGTGTAACGTTTAGTTTAACTCTTCTTCTACAGTGAATTTAGTGGATGGGTGACAATCGTTGTAACGTCTTAACAGCTCGTCCATTAAACGTTTTTCGCCGCAAATAAGAAATGTGTCGTCCATGTACCTTTTATACAAATAATGTTCGGAAATCATTTCTTTAAAGGGCCCGTTTTTTACCTTTGCCATAAAGATATCAACCAGGACAAGGCCTAGTGGAGACCCTATTGCTACTCCATCCGTCTGATTATAAATTAGATCATTCAATCTAAACTGTACATAAAATGTACATCTTAATATTAGTTCCTTTAGGTGGATCGTAGATAATCCAATGTTAATATTATTGGAATCAAAGTAATTACATAGATAACAAACGGTTTCAACGAGTGGAACATTGGTAAATAAAGAACAAGAATTACTGAATGTTGTTGTAACTTTCAGTTCATTAGAATTGTCATCATTAAGTTTTCTGATTTCTGTATCATGGTTGAGACATGTGCCTAAAACGAAACTTGAGCAAAAACTCCATATTAAATTTGTTTATTTGATATTTAGCCCACAGTGATACACTATTATTTACTCGATTACTTTTCGAGCATAAATTATTGCTCATAATCATATCAATGTAATCACACTTCTTTCGATATCTGATTTTATAGTCCTGTCACCTGATCTCTCTTTGTTTTTTGTTTTTTTATTGGTAGTAAAGTTTTCTATATCTCTGGTATATGTGTTGCGTCATTCCTATTACATGTGTTGGGTGTGATTCGATGAACAAAGATTAGTAATTAATCTCTCTCTCCACCTAGTTATATTAGACTTAAGTACAGTGGTTTTATCACACCTCTATTGTGATACCATACAAGGAAGGAACATCAGAAACCAAACATAGGATTCTCAACAAGGTTGGAATTAGGGTGGCATTTAAACCAACAAACTCACTTAGAGGTAAGCTTTGTCGACTAAAAGATCCGATAGAACCAATTAGGCAAAATAATATAATCTACCAAATTCCATGTAATGACTGTGAAGTCAAATACATAGGTCAAACTAGCCGGTCGGGGCCAGAACAGAACAGAATAGAGCAGACCATAGGAATTTAGCTAAACATAGAACGACAGACCCCAATAAGATCAATAATCTAGAAAAACACTCGGCCACTGCATTACATTCATTAATACACAACCATACAATGGGGTGGGACAAAACCACGTACTTAAGTCTAATATAACTAGGTGGAGAGAGAGATTAATTACTAATTCTTTGATCATCGAATCCACACCAACACATGTAATAGGAATGACGCAACACTATACCAGAGATATGGAAAACTTTACTACCAATAAAAAAACAAAAAACAAAGAGAGATCAGGTGACAGGACTATAAAATCAGATATCGAAAGAAGTGTGAATACATTGATATGATTATGAGCAATAATTTATG